CACTTCAATCCGTAACCGTTGCAATGACGGTCTTCCTTACACTTTCCTGACGGGGCCATTCATTCTGGCGCGCCACTTTTCATGAAGTTGATGGTGTGATGCTGACCTTTGTTTCTACGTCATAGACAAGAATGCCTCATTTATTAAAGGCGGAGTCTACAGTCATTTGGCGAACATAGAGTGTACTCGACTGCACTCCAAAGTGTTTACCATAGGGCACGAAATGAGCAGAAGTCCAAATGAGGCGATTAATAATCCAGTGTAAAGCACTGCACTACACGTTAGAAAGACGTTTCAGTAAACAAATACATAAAGGATAATGTACGATAAATTACACCAGGCAATACGTGAAATTTTGTTACATGCAAAGACGTAACACGAACGTTACATGCTCTGTTTTGTAGATCGCGTCCTTATTCAGCCCATCTCAGAGATACAGCGTTGTAGCAATGACGAGGAGGAGGGAAGAGAACAGGAAGAACTCGCCTTTATTCACTCGGCCTTGCTCGCGACGCGACGTTAAATTCAATGCCTTGGATTTGAAACAGTACCTTAGGACGGGATGACCCTGTCGAATAACCAGCCGTAACGACTTGCATACTCATTCACTAAGGCAGTATTCGTTTAAACGAACTGCAAGTCTTCAAGAGGATCGAAGACGTCTTAAAGAGGGCAACGGGCAACCGAGTGAGAACCGAGTGAGGCTCGGCGAAACGGCGAAACGGCGAAACGGCGAAAACACGTGAACGCAGAACGCATAAACATGTTCGACGCCACTGACAGAAAGAGACGTACCTATGGTGGTGATGACCGTGGTGCTGAAGTAGAACGCACCGGCGAACTTCCACTGGTAGCCGGCCTTATGAGGAATCGATTTCGTGATGACACTCTCGATAACGCGATAATCCTTGTCCGATATGTTGTACTTGGCCATGATGCGAACTCGCAACTCGTGCACCAAGTTGCGTTGCCTCAGCTCGTTGTCGGACTCGAGTGCGTCAAACACCGCCGCGCCGACAAGCAAGTAGGTGAACATGCAGACGATCAGCGCCAAGGTTCGAACGTTCTGTTTTTTCATCACCCCTGGTGGAGAAGCAGCAACTGATCGATCGGCTGGTGGTCGTCGATCCTACCGCTAGCAAAGGAAATGGACGTCACCGCTGCAGTAGCCGAAAGAGATAGAGGTCGAGCGGAGGGAGAAAGCCGAACTGCAACCGGAACGGAAGTTATCTGGAGGCTATCGTGCCACCGGCCGGCCGGATCAGGTCGATCACGGGAACTGCGGCAGTAAGAGGATGAATGCCAGTGACGCTTGCCTCAAGAGGTAGCACCAGCCGGCAGTGGGGCGGGGGTACGGGGCGGGGGTGGGGGTACGAAAGCGGTGAGGTGTGTTCTCACATCGACGCCGAGTGAAAATCAACGTTGCATGTGCGTCGCGTCGTCCGCCGCCGCGCGGCGCATTTCGACGGATGTGCTGCTCGTGGCCGAGGTGAGGTGGCAGTGGCGGATGCGACGACGGTGCCGGGGCGGCGGCAGTGGCTCATCGGCGACAGCAACCCTCAGCTAAGACGTTGCGCCTGAAACGACGAATAACAACGGCGTAAATCTATCGACATGACGACCGTGAGTCAAAGCGCACCAAGCGCACAAAGCGTATACCAACTCGCATCACTCGCTCGCAACACCGTATGCCAAGTGAGCTGTGCCAGCCGCAACGGTTGACAACCACGTGCGAGGTGATGGACCTCATTCCGTCCAGGTGCGTCACCCTCGAGGTGCACTTCGACGTCCGAGGAGTCCTCGGCCGCTTGGCAAGACGGCAAAACTCGGTGGACTCGTTCGTTCGTTCGTTCGCTTATAGCTCATCGACCGAACGAGCGTACGACATCGAGTGAAACTTAATAATAAATTTGCGATGGATCGAACGTCTCACCGACATATCAGATGTTGGCCTATAAATCCTCTGGCCGAGATCAGATGCGTTGCGATGCGTTGCGCTTTCATGCGCAAATGCCGGCAACCGCGACATGGAAGAATCACCAAGAATCGTGTGCAGCTGTTGCCATTGC